AGATCATATATTTTTTGTGTTTGTTTTCTTCGGCATGCACATGCAGTATTACAAAATACAGTTAGATAAGTAAATACTTGAAAAAGTGTAAAAATCCAGTGCGACAGTCTTTGAGTTCTTGAGGTTAACATGGTTCTTGATTGACAATGGTCAGCAGTGAGATAATCCATTCAGAGCGCTTAGCCTACTTTCCCATGCAGTCCTTTTTGGACGGGTTATTGTTTTTCTTTCTAGATACATGTGCTGCGTGTTTCATAGGGAAGCGCGGCACTGGGTTTGTTTACATGAAAGCAGCTCCGCAACGTGCGCCAATCGTTTTTTTTCAAAAATGGCTGTTGTCTACAAAAGAGCTTTCTGCTAAAGAAAAACTTGATTTAACACTTTAAAAATTAAGAAATAAGAAATAAAACGGTGAAATAGACAGAAACATAGCGTCGGCCCAGATCCGGCCCACATCCGGTACACATGGATTCCACACAGCCCAGATCTGGGCATAATCTGGGCCGACACTATGTTGCTGTCTGGGCTGTAAAATAACATTATTATATTATTTTTCTTAAATACTTGATTTTTTTTAAAAATGAAGTCATGTCATATTGATATATAAATTACTAAATGTTGGCCAAATAGTTCAGCCCTACAAACAAGTAAAAAAAAAAAAAAAAAATCTCATTTAAATTTTTATCAGGGTAAAAAAAAAAAAAATCCCCCAAATCATGCAGCCCTACTTTGAAAGACCCGACCAAACTTGTGATTCATAACCCTAAGATCTTCTGGGCATGATCCTATCTGTTAGACTGGAGTTTTAGTCTCTGACAATAATGGATGATCTCACTGTTTAAGCATCTTGTAAGAAAAACGTCCCCCCGGTTTTTAAAACGCATTAAAAGCCATATTCAACAAACCCCTGCTTGAAATGTTGATTAAATGTTTCCCGCTGCGTTTCCAAAACCGGAGATGAAAACAACAAGACAAAAACAACTACAATATTGTAGCAAAAATCGTTTTACAAAGCACAACCAGGAAAAGACACCCCCACCCCAAGCTTCAAATGCATCAAAAAACACTTTGAGCAGGGGGGGGGGGGGGGGGGGGGGGGGGGGGGGGGGGGGGCGAGGGGGGGGTGGAGCAAGATATAGTCATTAAATCAGTAAAAAAAAAAAAAAAGGGGCCTCAACTCCCACAAGTTTAAATCCAGACAAAATGATGAACTCAGACAAGCCGACACCAGAAACATTCCTTTGCTTTTCTGTGCATCTCAACGCACAATATCAGACCTCACCAAGGCACAGTCAGACTCCTATATATCCTCATACAAATACATTCCTGAAAGCAGTCAGAGGGACTGTCCCCCTCCACAGAAAATAAAAACAAAACCTCTCAGGCCCCCTGAACTAGGATAGACATGACCTGATCATGCACCACGTGGGAACCCAGCATCTATTTGACCGGTACTATGCATTGCAGAATGCCAATGATGAACGACAGCGAAGATTATAAGCCCTCAAAGAGAGAGCAAGTTCTATCCTGATGACTGTTTCATAATAAAAAAAAATTAAAATGGGCAGTCTGGAATGTTCCTTTCGACTACCTTTTTTTTTCCTTCTCGACTATCTACAGCCTGTACTCTTTCTTGCTGTTTGTGGTTCGACACAAACATGCAAGTTACGTAAGTAGACTACTGAGTGGCCCATCTGCCATCTGGTTGTAGCTGAGTGGCGGTTTGGAGTAACACAAACAATTCAGTCTACGCAAAGACTGCCAGATTGGGTCATCTGCATCTGCACAGATCTAACACTAAATACCAACAAAATCCATATGGGTATCCGATTAACATCCCATTTTTGATGTGTTTGGGAAAAGAGACGGCGAGACTTTTCCGCCTCTTTAGAAATGGCTAGCTAGCATGTTAAACTCTGGACCAGGTGAAAGTTCAGAACAGGAAGCATCTTATTCTGTTCCCTGGTGTGTTAAAGTAGCTTAACATATGGATCAGAACATTTACACATTTTGAGTAATATAACAGTATCATTAGTTACCTTGGTTATTTCCTATACGGTGTGTTAACACAGAACCAGAAAAGACTACTTATAGGTTAAAGACAGCGAACACCTCGGTGAACCCTCTGGATCTGAACAATAAAAGCTTGGTACTGCATTACTATGAGACATGGACCCAAGTAGGTATTCATGAGCAGTGTCCTAAATACTGTTTAACAGGTAGCTTATATATGTATTCATGTAGGTACATTATATACGGTTTAACTTGTGAACAAAGTTGGCCATAAACAAAGAAAATAGTGAAAACACGACCTACTCGTTGCAGCTTGATATGCACCGTGTGTTTGTTAAATTTCATGCTGTACAACAAAACGAAGGCCAGTGCAGAAGAAAACTAGCACCCCTGATGAACACGAGTAATGCGCCATGGCTAGCTAATAAAACCGTAGCCGAAGCACCATGGTGACGGGTGTGTGAAACATCATTAGAAATCAAACGCACCGTGATGTTACGTACAATAACTTCACACAACAGCTTATCCGAGGCAAGGGCGTTTAGAAATATATTACCAAAACTTGCTCTTAAAAATGACTTCAATCTCATTTGTAGGAAACATGATGAAAAGAGTTTCCCCAAGTATATACTGAGTGTAAACAGTTGTAGAAATCAACTTGCCCTCTTATGTAAAACGCCCATGAGATCTCGCAGACCCTTTGGTCTATTATAGCACCAGGAAGGGAATGGAGGGACGGGCAGAAACCTTTGAGATGTTCCTCACACCAGCTGAGGGGCCAAAATATGCTGCTATTAATTATTGAAACTCGTCTTCATCTCTGGCATAAGATCACAAAGTGTTTTGATGGGTATTGGAGTCGAATTGGAGTGCTAGAGCCTTTGGGTGCTGGTGTGTGGTTTCAAAAACAGGTTGCCTCCGGTCATACGGAAAGACGCAAGAACCTTGAGACCGTTTTCATGCAAGATCTGTTGAATCGTGTCAACAGAACGTGGGGAAAAAAAAAAAAAAAAAGAGGAAAATTATAGATCAGAAACCGTCATGTATATCTTGTTGAACTCTATAAACAAGACTCAAAGCCCATGAAACCAATGGCAGTTTTAAAGTGTTTTTGTTTTGGAGACGCTATTTAAATATTTAAATGCATATTGATTTATAGATTCACATTCAAAATGTTCTTTTATTAGCCTAGTCTATTGCTTTATTCAGATAAGCAGCAAAAATCTGATTGATTTTTGGCAATTCATTGAATTTTTTTAGTTTTGTAAATCAGGTGTGAAATCAGATTGAATGCATCTCAGTGTAAACAGACAAATAAGATTTCAAGTAGCTTTTCCAAGTACTCTATCCGTACTTTAAGATGTTTGTGAGTCTCTTGTCGTCATCCTGATCATTCCTAAATAAACCAATTAACAAATGGAGCTAACTTGAAATTGGATTTGAAACCAAATCGGATTTATGTGCAGTGTGAACAAATCCTTAATGCATGTTCTACCAATAACACCAAGCATTACTCTGGGCGTAAAACATTTTGTTTTGGAGATCTGAATACTGTATACCTTATCTATATACACATATCGACAGTAAGTAAGAGGGGAACCATGTGATGAACAAAACAGAAACAGACAATTGTGCTGATCACAATTAACACTGTTTGCATGCATATGATGAGTTAACTAGCTTGTGTTGATGTTATGTAGATTATATCATGTTAGACTGTATCAGAGCCACCAAAACAGTGCCAGATTACGATTGCCCGTATTCCTTGAAAGCCAAACTAAGTGTCGACATTATGTGGAACTCAACAAACAACTTTCATTCTATCCTGGTCATCTTTTGCAAAGAAGCCCATCGTGAAAAGAAGTCCGTCCTCCTGCAACCAGCATTCTGCCATGTTACACGATACTGTACCAATTACAGGGGAATAACACCATCACATCTGAGTTCTTCCAGCATGAGCTCCAGTGCTGGAGTAGATGTGGCATTTGCTATTTTTATTACTTCCTACTTGAACCTGTGAGGTCAGGAAAAAGGTGAGAGGAAAAGAGCTCTACACCTTTCAGAGGTAAAATGAACCACTTTGCAGAGTTTTGATACTCTTTACTCAGTCAGGCATGTTGGTCAAACCTCACTAGGCAACAGACAGTGGTGTGAAACCACCGCGGGCTCATTTATGGCTCTAATATGAGTGCAGTTCATTCCTGCTGATGGAGTCCGATGGGAAGGAAAGGTTGCGTTGCCTGAATGGCTGGTTCTTGCCACTGCTAACTTTGATGCAAGTCTGTGCTGTCGGATTTTAATGATTGCAATCTTTGTACTTCAGTCAGTTGAAGTTACACAAGAAAAAAAGGAAAGAAAATGGCACGTAAAAACCCTTTTTGGTAGCAAGAAGATATTCCTGTGACAAAAATCACTGAGTTCTCTGCTGTTAAATCTAACTGCTGGTTTTGCTTTTACTGATCGCATCCCTGAAAGAAATGTCCTATTGGTAAACGCAAATATAAAACCAGAGATATAAAATCCGTCCTTTGTAGGTGCAATTGCTTGTGACAGCACGGCTGAAAGGGGGAGCTGAAAGTCCTCGTCCCATACTTTTTTCTTTCTTTTTTTTTTTTTTTTTGCATTGATGAAATCAAGAGAGTTGTCCAGTCAACATCCCAAAACTAAACCCAGTTGTGGTACATTCTTAAGAAGACAGGGTTTTCTGGATGTCCAACCCTTAACCTTTAGTAAAACAGGCAGGAGAAATGCGAAAAAGTGCCTGTGGAAAAAGAAACGCTTTCTCGGGTTCTGTTTTATAGCACTCTCACACAGTCTGAAAGAGAGCTTTCTTCTCTTTTAAAAAGAGCTTGGACAGAGGCTGGCCTTGCCTTAACTGGTCTTTTGAGAACTGACAAGAATGTTTTTAAGGAGTCTATCGAACACAAACAAAAAGATGGATCACAAGTCTTTTTTTTTCTTTCTTTCTTTTTTTTTTTTGGAGTATAAAGCAACTCGCCTTGAGTGCGTCTGTTGGTTTTGGAGGAAATGCATAAGGGTTTGACCCCTGAAGTCCACATGGGTTTAAGGTGAGGCAGGGTGGGTCTGTGGTCAGTAACGAAGAGAAGGGACGTGTTTCATTATGCTATGCATGCAAAAGGAAGCCCACCCTGTTTTCGTGTCCCAGTCATCAGCGGTTTCAGTCAACAAATCTCTGGCAGGCTTTCTTCCAGCGGCAGGCCGTGCACCACATGTCTCTGTTTTCCATGCCGTACACCTTACGACACTTCTTCCCCTCGCCTCGTGACTTCCTACTGCACAGCACATAACAAAACACAAAAAAAGTTTCACAAAAATTGTTCAACAAACAAAAGCAAACATTTAATAAAAATTGTGTACTTGCATTATTCAAATTTGGAGCTCAAGGCAAGTTCATCTGAAGCTTATGATTATTAACTAAACTAGATGTGTGTGAACTGCATGAGTGCGAATAAAATGTCTTAAATATTTTAAATGGTATAACAAACGTCTTCATTATCATTTTAAGAGGTCAATTTGTGCATGGAAAACAGTGATGCATCCTAATGTGATTATTCAAATTCCAATATAAACTTCAACTTTAAAGCTCCCCTGTGGTGAAAATCAAGCTTTTAATGTCGTTTATATGCGGCGTTTTAATATGCTTTAAAACAAACCATGTACAAGTGCATAAGTAAACACCATTGCTGAGTATTTTCTCCTTAAAACTGCAGAGAACCAAAGACAGTCTCAAAAACGCAGTTTGAAAATTGCTGGTGTCACAAATGTCAACGTGTGATCGTCAACGAGTGGATCTCTGAGCTGGTGCGAGTGAATGGAGACGGGGCTAATTTGCATATTCATAGAACCACGTATACTAAATGATGCAAATGGGTAGAGTTGCATTCAAGCTATTTTAAGTCATGAATAATCTTTTTCAAGGAAACACTTTTAAATATGTCATTTTGGTGATCAAAGATGAGTTTTAAGAGATAAAGTTATTGACAACATGGAGACTTTAAAAACAATTTACAAACCAATGTTCTTTATAATTCTTTTGCACTTTAATCGGTTTCAAACATTTGTTTACTTTTAATTGTATTTAAATGTTCAGTTTTTTGTTGTCATAAGAAAAAGTTATTAAACCTGTTAGGGGGACAACAAGTTTTTCGAAAAAAGTAAGTGAAAGGAAAAAAGTAAGTGTCAAGCCCTGAGTAACTGTCAAATAGTATATATAATAATATAATATAATATTATATATAATACAGAATAAAACAGATTTTCAATGTCACTGATATGACTGGAGTTTTTATCTCAAGTGAGTGTACATCATTTTAATCATATTTGTTCAAATTATTATTTGAAAAAAATTGTTACATAACAAACATGATACATAGCCTGGCTAACGTCAGACCACGTCTCATTGACATTGAGACGTGGTCTGGGAACCACATGTTCATTTTCTCGTATTTGAGGCGTGGTTTTCTCGTATTTGAGGCGTTGGTATATCAAATGCGCCTGTACGTAGCTCATAGTCAATCGTTTCAATTATACCAGATGACGTATGTAGAGCGAAAGAAATTAGACGAGGAAGAAGACGATGGGTCAGAGATTTATTTGCGTTCTAAACTACTTGGAACAATATCTGCATCGAAAGGTAACTTCGCGTCTGCTGCCATGTTTGATCCATAGGTATAAACAAACTGCTTCGGTGTGTCGCATAGACGTCGTCATCGTCTTGCTGCTCCCTCCCCGTTCTGTGATGGTAAATGGTAAATGGACTGCATTTATATAGCGCTTTCACAGACCCAATGGCCACCAAAGCGCTTTACATTTGCCTCACATTCACCCATTCACACACCCATTCATACACCGACGGCGGTGTCTGCCATACAAGGCGCCATCCCGCTCGTCAGGAGCAGCCGGGGTTAGGTGTCTTGCTCATGGACACCTCGACACTTGGTCAGGTGGAACCGGGGATTGAACCACCAACCTTTCGGTTCGCAGACAACCCACATGAACTACTGAGCCACTGCCACCCCTCGGTGAAGCGAAAATTTGGTCCATGGTATCCAGACTGCCTAGCAGCGTGAATAAAATTGCACTGCGCAAAGGCAGTATGGGGAAACCCAGGCTACATGATACAAGCAATAGAAAAACAATAGATATTTATGCAACGATATTTAAATTCTGGATGTTAATTTGTCAGAATTAAAAAAACTAAAACTGAAATCACTTATTTTTATGTGTATGAAAAATGGATATTCATTTTGTGATTTGCTTTGGCATCATAGAGAGCGGAACATATTGTTAATTGTAGTTTTCTACACTACTTACAGATTTTATGATGTGCTGATAGATTTGGACGCTCGTAAAACATGTAAGAATATCCCTTACGGCCGCCACACTTCCAACATTCATCAGGTCTAACTATTTCACACAGCTATTTTAAAGTACAATATTCATTTCTTCAGGTGTAAGGCTCTTAATGAACAGAAGTGTATTTGAGACTGTACCTGAGTGAGCCTGCAGCTCTCGGGGGAGACGAGAGCACTGCGATGGTCTGAGAGCGCTGCTCCCCAAAGCCCTGCGTTCGGCTGTGAGTGGGAGACGCCTGCAGTCAGAGAGAGAGAGACAAACACATCATTCATCCATTTCCTGTAATAAAAACCTCAAAGTGTAATTTACAGAAACACTCAGCATAAAATGGTGTCTGTTTAGCTTGTTTTGTGAGAGTTTTGGTATTTGGTTATCAGTGATGAGATATTTGTCAGAATGACTCGCATCTCAGAGATGTGTCTGACAGTGATGTCAGGTAACTCAAATGTGCAATCAAATGAAGGGCCAAACTGTAGTAGATCAGTGGGTGGTTATGAGAGACAATCGATGTGTATAAGGGGACAGTCTAACACAAGGCACACTGGAGTTTAGTGTGTGCATGTGTGTGATGGGCACAGGAGTGTGTGTGTGCGTTTACTCACAGAGGTGCCAGTGAAAGTGACAGGCGGGGACTGCCAGGAGATACTGAAACTGCTGCTGGAGGGGGTGAAGCCAGTGGAGCTGGTGGAGGGGATGGTAACAGGGGCTGTGGCCTGTGGGGTGACAGTCACACTGATATAGAGTCTCTACGGGCCCGGGATTATGACTCGGCTGCATGTATACAATGTGATAACATCTAGCATTCAAATAGTGGGCTTTCTTTTATTGGTCACCCTATTATTGGTCATTTAAGCTTTGTAACAGTTCAGCAGATGTATGATTACATTCATTGTTTAACAGGGTTATCATTATGTAACGTTTTTTTTATAATTTTGTTTTGTGCTTTGGTTTTCAGTTTCAGTGTTTAGTATAGGGGTTCTCAAATCCTGTCCTGGATTGTCAAGAATGCAGTTGTGAGTCCTGAAAATGTGCTGGTGTCAGTTCGGTTCTAGAATGGGGTTGTCAAGCTCCTAAAAAAACAAAACGCTGTATGAACGCAACCGTATTAAAGGTACAATATGTAGGATTTTTGCAGTAAAATATCCAAAAACCACTAGGCCAATGTTATATATTTTGTTTAGTTGATTACTTACAATATCCCCAATGTTTCCAACTATTTGTAAATCGTGAGAAAATTGGAAACGGGACGTGTCAGCAGGGGTGAGGAGTCGCCAGTCAATGGCGTCATATCCGCGTTACCCTCGGTTTCCGCTCGTACTGCCATGGTAACCATGGCGACACGTGGACAACTGGGTTATGCTTAGCAGGACGCTCACGCTGTTGTTGTTTTGTTCAAACATTTTGGACCATGGCAAGCAGACTTTGAGACAAAAAGAGGACTAGAACGAAGATCAAAATCTTTCGAGATGCCGAGAGCTCCACGTCCGCGACTAACTTCGACTTGACAGAGACGCGAGTGTTCCATGTACTTTATTAGACAGGTGAGCAAATGTACATAAAACTAATCAATGTTATTTAGTTCAATATGATGAAATGTTAGAATATGATCTGCATGTTATTCTAATGTTGATCTAGCTTACTGCTAGTCTCATACAGCCAACAAACAACCTAACTAACAACATTCAACTCACTCAAATGCCGTTTAGTGTGGTAGTGTAACTGTTAGAGCAAGTGAAACAGCGCTGCGTTACCTCAAGTTTAATTCGTCTAATAAACTGACCTGTGAGTAACTTATTAATTCAGCACTTGCGTGTAGTTCGGTAGAATGAAATGTCCTTATTCCTTTATATCCGCGGGACTCGCGTTGCGTGTGGTGCTGGTATACGTCTCTCATTAGCAATCGCGCCCTCCTTCACACCACAGTTATGTTAAAAATATCACTGTATTCACTCATCCATAAAAGATCCATCACCTTGACGACAAGATCCATAATTCAGCTTGATGCTTTGCGTCATTGATATACGCCTTTGTTATTGTAAGAGATTAGCGTCCCCTGGTGGCCAAAAATTACATATTGTACGTTTAAGTGGCACTGCCATACTAGCCGTTACCATCTGGCTTCTGAAATTTCAGCTTCACCATAACAGGAATAAATTATATTTTAGAATATATTAAAATAGAACATTGTCACTATATATTTCACAAAATTTCTGTTATTTTCTATCAAATAAATGAAGCCTTGGTGAGCATAAGAGACTTCTTTCAAAAACATTAAAAAACCGACCCTAAACTTTTGAACAGCCGTGTATGTGATCAAGAGAAACGTGAGTTCTCATCATAATTCTCCTCATGTGTTGCGACCTTATCATCCTCCATATTGAAATTGAGTGGTGTCTTTATGCACAGCTTGGCCTGTTGATACATCAATCATATTGATTCTGTAATTGCATAGATCTACTAGGTCATATTCATATTACTTCTGTCTAGAGGTTGTGTACTGAGAGCATCAGAGTGTATCTCTCGTCTCAAGTGATGTAATGTTATGTAAATGTGTGTAAACTCATTGTGATTGGATGGGCTGTACCTGGTAGGCGTGGTCTGTGTGCACTAGGTAGAGTGCGCTTGGAGCGGAGCGACTGAGAGGGGTGGTGGTGCTGTTCTCATTCTTCACCCCGTTAGTGCCATCCGGCTGTCTCTGGTCCAAACCCGGCGGGGGAGACAGAACAGACGGGGACACAGGAGACAGACTGCTCAAACCGTCCGCCACAGAGTCTGTGTTCAGCTTAATCTCGGTGTAGTAGAAATCCTCCTCACCGTCACTAAACTCTGAGTCACAATTCCTCCTGAAGAGAGACAGATCATTGAAACATTGTTATATCAACACTATGACTTGCTTTCATTTAACATTTCTAATGTGCACCACTAATATAACTGCTTTAAAGGTACTATACTATACAACACTATACTTTTCTGTCATACTGTAAAGCCCTATAAAGGCAAATCACAGTACTTCCACACTGAAGCTGAAAAAATGGCTTCAAAGTTTTTGAATTGCCTGATTTTTAATATGAATTCATTTTTACATTTGATATAAACATTTTTACTCTGAATCTGAGCATATAATAGTTAAGCCAAACCTGTCATTTTGAAACTATAGTAGTAAACATTTGTACTACTTTATACTTTACGTAACTTAAGTACTTCTTTGATGCCAATAAAATAAGAACAAATACAATAGAGCAAAGTTACATAGAAAAGTAAGGGTTACACTTTATTTTCAGGCGACGTAGTTACATTGTACTGAGAGTAATATTAATTAACTTCATGTACTTACTATAGAGTTACGGTCAGGGTTAGGGTTAGGGTTAGTTACTTGTAATTATGCATAATTTACTGTTATTACTATAGTAAGTACATGTAGTTACGTGTAACTACGTCACCTTAAAATAAAATGTTACCAAAGTAAGGTCTAACAATAGTATAGTAATTGTAAATTTCAGGTACAGAAATTTAATAATGTTTAATAATAATTACTTATGTCATGCAATAAAATGCAAATTACTTAAAAATCATACAATGTGATTTTCTGGATTTTTGTTTTAGATTCTGTCACTCACAGTTGAAGAGTACCTATGATAAAAATTACAGACTTCTACATGCTTTGTAAGTGGGAAAACCTGCAAAATCAGCAGTGTATCAAATACTTGTTCTCCCCACTGTAAGTATAAAGTAACTCCATAGTGTTCACTGTGCAAATTAAAGGAGCTGTATGTAAGATTGTGGACAAAACTAGTACTGCAATCACTGTCAAATTACTGTAGAGTGGTGTATCCCCTCCCCCTCCTCCCTGACTCGAGGTTGCCAGATCGGCTGCAGGATCCAGCAGGAACGTGACGAGATGCAGCTGTGGTAACTAGAGCAGAGCTGGCAACCCGGATGCCGCAACACTACTGACTTCGTGATTGGTAGATAGGTGGAGGGCGGCGCATCAGACCAAAACACAACATGACAACATCAACATCAGTTGAGGGCTGCAACTGCACTTTTTAAATGACAATATCCTGGCCAGACTACTGTTGTCAGTGATATAAGTATTTGAAATGTACATGATTTCCTAATGTCTAGTGACATTTCAGGGCCATTTTATGATTAATTGAAATAAATATCTTACATACAGCTCCTTTAAATACAGATTAAAAGATTTAAAGTTGCATTTTGTTGTTTGATTAACATTAATGACACAGACATCTGAGGGTATTTATAGGCAGCGGTCACTTTAAGACCTAATGCACGGATCCAATATAATGATTTACATCTGATTTCTTTCTCAACTGTTTATGTAGTATGGTAAAGGTATAGTGTAGCATTCTGTGTTACAGTATGATATAGGATATTATAGTGTAGTGTTCTAAAGTATGGTATGATGTAGTATAGTATAGTATAGTATGCTATGGTATATTGTACAATACCTTCAACCGTTTCAACAGTTACTTGATGCATAAGACTGTCAGTTTCTCATGTCCTTCCATTGAACCATACTTCTGAAAATGAGATTTTCTCTGAAATCCTCACGCTATCTCCCAGCAGTACTTACGCTTGTGTGGTTTAATCAGACTTCAGCAGAGAGAAACATAAACCTTCCTTCACAATCATCTGGCCTTTGCTGTCATTACTTTGTGCCCCGCAGTAATAGTGTAAGCGTGGTGATAATCCTGCTGGAATTAGTCTCATGTTTTGACATTGAACCAGGAGCAGCCTGTTTGTCTCTTATCTCTCACTATATGCTATCCAGAGATCACTGTGATGAATATCAGCCAAGAGATAGTGTAACAGCATAAAAATGTGAATGGGTTTAAGTGTACATGAAACGTTTTGAAAATGACATGAAAAGTTTTTTGTTAATAAATGTTAAACTAAAAGATTTTTTTGTATGCTTGTGTTGATATACTGGGTTTGTTTCAAAGTGTTACCTCAATTATAAAATGATCAGGGTGAATACACAGGGAAATGCACCGAATGCGTCAAAATCTGCAATAATTAAATGATTTTCCCACACTTTATGGACTTATTTTACACATGTACACTACCATTATAAAGTCTGGGGTCAGTAAAGGTCCTTGCACAATGAGTCCGAAATTCTCGTCCGAACATTTTGCACGTTAAAAAATAAATACGACCTCACGTTATGGCAATCACGTTTACACACTGCCTCCGAAACTTTCTTCCGTCATAAAAAAATTCGGATTTGGTTCGATTTTCTGCCTTTTTTGCATCCGTAGCAAGCATTTTGAGAGGTGTTTTGACAATTGAGAGCCACTCAATGACGAAAACGAAAAAACACATACGAGAATTTTGGACTCAAAGTTACTTAGATTTTCTGCGTTTTACACATCTGTTGCAAGCATTTTGAGAAGTGTTTTGACAATTCAGAGCCAACATAAAAAGCAAATGCCAAAATCTAGAACTGTTCAGGATCAATTGGTTGTTAAAGTAAATTGGGGGTCTTGTTTTTAATATGTGGCTCCAGTATCGCTAACACTGCATCTGTTATGAGGGTGAGGAAGGATGAACCCAATAGCAGACAGTAGTCAAGGCAACACGATTTATTAAACAAAAAAACAGGAAAACAAAGCCCACGAGGGGGCAAAACAAGACAGGACTATGAAGACTAACTAGACTGAGACAGATAACTATAAGAACACAAATAACCTTTACAGGCAATAGCGCAACAGGACTAAAACTCTTGACAAGATACTCACAGACTCTGACCAAGGATTAACACTCAGGTAACAATCACAATGAACCGACAAAAGACAGCAGATACAAGAGGATTAAATAGGGAACACTAATGACGAGGACAGGTGAAACTGACTAGACAATAATCACAAGACGAGGATAACAAGGGGGCGGGGTAACGAGACGAGACAACACAAGCACATGGTCCAAATAACAGACCATGCGCTTGTACATAAAACATGATTCTGTCATGATCCTGCCTCACGACTAGGAAAATCAAGAATACTAAGGCAGAATCATGACAGAACCCCCACCTTAAGGAGCGGCTACCAGACGCTCCTCAAGGGGACATTAAACACGGGGCATGACAGACTGTGACAAAGACACGAACCAACAAAACATGGAAAACATTAACAATGGCAAACAGGAATAAACAATAACAGGGTTCGGGTGAAAAATCAAAAACAACATACAAGGCAAAGGAGGTGGAGGAAACACAGAGTTCATGGGGGGAGGTCCAGGGTGGATGGGAGGACTGGGGTTCTTGGGTCCACGGGAGGAGGGCTGAGGACGAGAACTCCGGGCAGGCTTGGACGGGGACACATGAGTAGAGGTCTTGGGAGAAACAGTCCGGGGTTTAATGGTGACAGGGGAAACAGTCCGGGGACAAGTGGAGACAGGAACGAACGGTGAAACAGTCCGGGGACTAGTGGAGACAGGGACAAACGGGGAAACAGTCCGGGGGCTAGTGGAAACAGGGACAGATGGGGAAACAGTCCGGGGGCTGGTGGAGACAGGGACGAATGGGGAAACAGACCGGGAATTAGCAGCAACAGATTCAGACGAGGACACAGAGGATGCGGAACCGGGACTCCTGACGTGAGACATAGTAGGCAAAGGGGCAGGACAGGGTGCAGCAATAACAGCGGCAGGCTCGGGTGCAGCGCTCACCGGGATAGGATCAGGTGCAGCGCTCACAGAGACAGGCTTGGGAGCTGAGGACAAGGCAGGACAGACAGGGGGTTCAAGAATAGCGACGAGACGAGACAGGTAATCGGAAAGGGTCTTGGCCGCAATGATGACGGGCATCTCCTGACGAGCTGAAACTGCTCGCAGAACCTCCTTAGCGGCTAGATCGGCCGCAACTCTCTCAGCGGGCTCTGGGACAGCGCTTGCTGAGGCGGGCTCTGGGACAGCGCTAGCTGAGGCGGGCTCTGGGACAGCGCTTGCTGAGGCGGGCTCTGGGACAGCGCTTGCTGAGGCGGGCTCTGGGACAGCGCTTGCTGAGGCGGGCTCTGGGACAGCGCTTGCTGAGGCGGGCTCATGGGAAGACAGAGACGGAGGACAAGAGGGTCCCTTCCTCCTCCTCTTCCTTCTGGGACGCGGAGCTGATGTCACAGCTGGACTGGAGATCGGCAGGAGAAGCGCAGCAGGGTCCATGACTGGAAGTGGGAGGGCTGTCTCAGGCAGGGAAGACTCCGTCGCTGAAGACTCCGAAGCAGACTCCCAGGAAATCCGTCTCCCTCGTTTTCCACGGAGACTTGCGGGTGTGGATGAAACCTCGGGAGTCGTGAGGGAGCCAGCCTGGTCCCCAAGCGTCGCGACGCCTATAACACGACCCTCCGGGATCACTGACAGCTTGGGTGATGGTGACGACAAGGTGGAACCCCGCGACTCCCTCCGTGACAAACAATCCACCATCTCACCAAACGGGCAGCAGACCAGCTTCTCCCGTTCAGCCAGGGGTGGAGGAGCGTTGAGACCCGCAATGAGGTAGCGGTTGAGGAGGATATCAGGTAGGAAAAGCCTCCTCTCGTTTGCAACCTGGGCGTACTCCCTCAGGGACCGGTCTCCCTGGGGAGGAATTGGCAGCTTGCCATTACTTGCATCAGAAATAGTCCTCCGCCACCATTGTGCAAGGTCATCCGGGTTATGCTCGACAAAAGAGGACATACTGTCTGCTGGGTTCCTTGGTGGTCGGTTCATTCTGTTATGAGGGTGAGGAAGGATGAACCCAATAGCAGACAGTAGTCAAGGCAACACGATTTATTAAACAAAAAAACAGGAAAACAAAGCCCACGAGGGGGCAAAACAAGACAGGACTATGAAGACTAACTAGACTGAGACAGATAACTATAAGAACACAAATAACCTTTACAGGCAATAGCGCAACAGGACTAAAACTCTTGACAAGATACTCACAGACTCTGACCAAGGATTAACACTCAGGTAACAATCACAATGAACCGACAAAAGACAGCAGATACAGAGGATTAAATAGGGAACACTAATGACGAGGACAGGTGAAACTGACTAGACAATAATCACAAGACGAGGGGACAATAACAAGGGGGCGGGGTAACGAGACGAGACAACACAAGCACATGGTCCAAATAACAGACCATGCGCTTGTACATAAAACATGATTCTGTCATGATCCTGCCTCACGACTAGGAAAATCAAGAATACTAAGGCAGAATCATGACAGCATCAAACTGGGCCACTGACATCCTGAAGTAAATTTTGAATCGCTCGGGATAATCCCGCAGCTCCTTGATAAGAAGGTGGAACTCTCCTTCCTTTCATATGTAATCTCAGGATTGGATGGACCCAATATTTCCTCTTTTTTTATTTTTAAGAAAAGAGAGGACAACAAAATCATCGTCACTGCTTGAAGACTCCATTTTGTATTGTTTTGCGGATTAATTAATACGTATCGTAGTGTGCAAGGTTTCTGTGCATGACGAATTTTTAAGGTGACTAATATGAAAAAACGCAAATGAAAATTTCGGACTCATTGTGCAAAAAAAAAAGTTTTTTAAAGAAGTCTCTTATGCTCAATGATGGTTGCATATATTTGATCAAAAATACACTAAAAAAACGTAATATTGTAAAATATTATTACAACTGAAAATACGTTTTCTAGTTTAATATATTTTCAAATGTAATTTATTCCTGTACTGGCAATAGTTATTCCTCCAGTCTTCAGTCACATGATTCTTCAGAAATCATTCTAATATGCTGATTTGGTGTTCAAGAAACATTTCATATTATCAATGTTCAAAACAGTTGTGCTGATTAATATTTTTGAGGAAACTTAAAAATATTTTCAGGATTCTTTGATGAATAGCATTTATTTGAAAAATGTATGTGAAATTATTGTAAATGTCTGTAACTGTCACTTTTGATCAAAACCCCAAACTTTAGAACGGTAATGTACCAAACACCCCTCTCATTAACAATTTGTATTACCATTAAAGGCACAATCTATAACAAGCCTAACTGACATAAAATGAGGCATTTTTGCGCAGAAAAAAAATGACAATGACTTCATGCTATTAAATATGACGTAATGCTATTTCAGCGCATTTAACACCTGTTTAAAATGTATTGTGGGTGGTTATTGAATACGACACAATTTCTTGTGATACCACAGGTGGCTTACCCCAGGTGGACGGTTCGAATGTGCCTCTGGATCCCGGCGGCTGTGCTCAAGACCTTTCCGCAGTTCTTCCACAGACACTTGAACATCACCTTCATGGAGTTCTGTCAAGGACACAGGTGCACAGTGAGTACACTAATCAACATCAATTGGCAGACCTCTTGTACCCAGTATTCAGATGCTCACAAAAGACTGACACGGGGGGGGATTCAAGGGGTGAGAGCAGAACCCAGAGCCTCAGCAGGACGCCCACCTTAGATGTCTCTCTTGCTCTATTCCGAGGCTGGTAATTGGTCGGCATTGAGAGTGACACTATAGCGCAGTCTTTCAAAGCTCATGTCATTTTTCACACAATCTGTCTGCACTAATTACACAATTGTCATTTGAGAACTGCGGCTCCCGTGTCAAAACTGCACTCGAGTTGAAAGCACAAGTTAGCGTAAGTGAAGATGAAAGTCTTAATCCTTCGATCTCTCGACATATGCTTTTATGTCGGGTGGCGTGCTGTAGTTTGTTTACCATTGTCATGACGCTAATTTAATTTTCTCTAGATGGCCATTGTGTTGGTCTGGCAAACAAAGCAGCTCATTCCCACATAATCGGTTCACCATGTCCCTGGATGACAACAGCGCCGTAATTCCCAGTGCTATAAACCAGCTCCTAATTAACAACAGTTGAAACCGGCTGGTGTCCTCGTGTTGAAGTCAACTCTCTAGAAGGCAGCTGAAGGTCAAAGCAGAAAGCTTGGCCATTTTTCTTCTTTTAGGAAAGGCTCTTTAGAAGCTGCTGCCAGGAAAGACACTGAGAAATGACTGATTGATGTGTTTGGAGGCAGCTCGTGATTCCTAGAACCGCAATTCCTAGAAATGAATCTAAAAGGAATTTAACTTCTTCATCAACAGCATTATTAATTAGATATATTTGTAGGAATTGGTGTGAAATCATTACTTTAAAATGTACCATGGTGGTACTACCAAGGTTTTTAGGTCATTAGTACCAAGGTAATGTACCATGGTAGTTCCACGGTATTATTTTAGGTAGCATAGTGTGTAAATGCCATACAGGTAATACATAAATATGGTAATCATTCAGTAACACAGTATTTATGAAAGTACTACGGTATTACCATGTTTTATGGACATAATATTCGCTAAAATACTTTGGAGAATCACCACCTATCAGCGCACAAAAAGTGCCAACAGTACCATGGCACTTTTTGAACATTTATTCCTTTTTTTTTTTTAAGTATCTAAACATCATGAAGAGTACCATAATATTATCACATGATACCATCAATGTACCATGGTACTTGTACCATGGTACTATCAAAGTAATTTTTGTAAAGGTTGTAAGTACCATTGTACATGAATATGGTAAATATTTAGAGTACTCTGTATAATAACTTGATTGTTCAAAAAACGCATTATTTTTTTTACATATTTGACATAATTACAGCTCCTCTCTCATAGGGCTGTGGAACGATTAATCGTGATTAATCGCATCCAAAATAAAAGTTTGTGTTTACATAATATATGTGTGTGTACTGTGTATAATTATTTTGCATATACAAATACACACATGCATGTATATATTTTTAAGAAAAATGTGTTATTTATAAATAATATTCTTTTATATGTCGATTTAGTTATTCATTTTTTATTTTAGTACATAAAGTTAAACTTAATGAAAATGACAAATGTTTCTTTGGCAAGTAGCTGAAGTAAAATGAATAAATAAAAGTTCTTATAATACAAAATGTAACAAAAATGTAATATATTTATGTCCATGACATGAAATGCAAGGATAATAGTAGTGATAATGAAAACAAGGCACTGACAAACACTGGTATTGCTGTTGTCCTGGAATCCTGAGCTAGAGAGACAATAACTGAGATAAACGGAGGTCTATTCATTCCCACAAATGAGGGAAGACTGACAGAATCTGGGATGCACCTGACATGAGCCTGATGAACTGGAAGATAAAGTAGATTGGTGCCTGTGAGCAGCCTAGTGCATTGGTAACTTGTCTTCGTAAAGACAAGTAAATTGCCTCTCTACACAGCGTCATCATGTCTAGTAATGGCACCTCCAAATGAGCCACATCCCAGAGAGGACAGTGTGTTATTAAAAGTAAAGAAATATGTACCCACGACTTCTCAAATAATCTGTCTGCAATGCAAGTATGTGTCCAGATATAAATCACTTTTACACGCCTTCTTCTAAATTCAGGAGTCATGTCACATGCAGGAATAAAATGCAAAGTACAAGGTCTGTCAATCATATAAAATAATATAAGCTTAAATCGCATATTTCTGAATCTACATTACATTTACATTTACATTTATTCATTTAGCTGACGCTTTTATCCAAAGCGACTTACAATTGCTATATATGTCAGAGGTCGCACGCCTCTGGAGCAACTAGGGGTTAAGTGTCTTGCTCAGGGACACATTGGTGTCTCACAGTGGATTCGAACCCGGGTCTCTCACACCAAGGGCATGTGTCTTATCCACTGCGCCATCACCACCCCATTTACATTGAAATTATGCACTGAATCCTTGCTAATAAAACATTGAAATACATGCACTGAAAAAATGCACTGAACACAATGTAGAAATCATGTTTTTTTTGCGCTGGTTCTTGGATTAGGGCTTTTCCCATTCATCATGGTCTTGAAATGTGTTTTGGCCTGATAGGTTTTTTTTATAATATTTTTGTAATGTACCATGTTGGAATGTTCCCCTAACCATTTTTATTCCACTCGAATCACATACATTAACAAACATCCCAAAAAAAAGAAGGCATAATGGCCTTAACTAGTGGTTGACTGATGCTAGATTTTGTAGATACCCATAACTTAAGAGTTTAAAAACCTGATTTCTGAATTTAAGTTTTTTAAATACTGTAAATATGCTGAATGTCAAAAAAATTCCAAAAAATTCCAGTCTCCAAAATATATGAAATCCCAGGAGCAGTTTATTGTGCAACCAAAACTAGAAAAATGATTAGGCCTATTCGCGCAATTCAGAAAATAAAATAAAGCAGTTTAAATGATACTCAATACACTGTAACCACCGCTAACTTTCCTTCTCCTCATTTTAACCCCATTTACACCAGCCATAATTAAAAATACATCTATAATACTGGCACTTATTTTTTTCTACAGATATTCAATATTTGCAAACGCCATTTTTGGTGCCGATGAATATGCAAATCGACCTCTAGCATAAACATGAAGTTTTCAGCACCCACATAAGGGTCTTTGTCTCATTCTAAATTGCATTTGAATTTCACTTCAAGGATCACAAACCGTGCCAGGGACAAGGGCGGCAGGGTGGCTGCGGATTTTTGTGCCGCTCATTGTAAATCTATTATCTTCCTTTATCCATTCTTCCTATAGTAGCGTTTAACTAAGTTACGTCCGATCAAATCTCCATAAGTGAAGGTGAGATGACAGTGGCTCACCTTGCGTTTGCGGGGGATGGGTTCGTCGAACAGCAAGCTGTTGCCGTCATGCTCATCGATGTTGTCGTCTGTCGGGCCGTTGTGGCTGGGCATCCGAAAGGGTTTGAAGCTGTCAGCGGACAGGGGCGGGGATGGCGTGGACGGGTTGGACTGGTCACTGGGTGCGCTCCAGCTCCAGTATCCACTGCTGCTGTAACTTGATGGAGTGAAACCTCCGTCCTTCCAGGAGCCATTTAGACCCTCTGTATGGAAAGAATAGAACTCAGTGAGGGCCATAAAGACACATTAAGTGCGTAAAGTAATAATAACCATCATCCCGACATATATACTGCTTTATAATACACTAAACTTTCAATTAAGTGTAATGAGGAGTGTAAAGACATTAACGTCATGTTGGTTTATGAAACTCTCAGTGTGCAGGAGTGTCATAACAGAAAGTTAAAGTCCTGATTATATTACATAAAAGCCACAATTTTAGTACTCCATTAAAGGCCTTCAAAAGTTATAACACGTCTTCATCAAAATCTTGCGCCCGTTTCACACATGATCCGTTTGTCTCATTGTGCTTTCAAACAAGACGCATTTGCACTCTGCAGTGCGCAGCTGATCCCCAGCTGTGTGCCACAAATACAACTATTAGTTATCCATGTACTCCATGTATTCAAATAGAAATCTTTTGTAACCATATACACTACCGTTCAAAAGTTTGGGGTCACAATTTTTTTCTTTTCATTTTTGAAAGAAATAAATACTTTTATTAGCAAGGATGTGTTAAATTGATTAAAAGTTATAGTAAAGATTTATTTTGTTCGAAAATATTACCATTCGAATAAATGCTATTCTATTTGAGGTTTTATTCATCAATGAATCCAGAACAAAGTATCACATTTTCCAGAAAAATATTAAGCAGCACAACTGTTTTCAACATTGATAATAACTGAGTAGCAAAACAGCATATTAGAATGATTTCTGAAGGACCATGTGACACTGAAAAAAAAAAAAGTATCACAGATATAAACTATATTTTAAAGCAGATTAAAATAAAATATTTCACAATATTACTGTTTTTTTTTTGTATTTTTTATTAAATAAATGCAGGCTTAATTAGCATAAGAGACTTCTTTCAAAAACATTAAAAATACTATATATATATATATAGAGAGAGAGATTTACCATATTTATAGATTTATATATTAAGTTGTAACATGGCACATACAGAATAAACATAAGGTGCTTCTCTTACATTAAAAGGTAATATCATTTTAAAGTGTTCCTATTATGCTTTTTCGAATTTTACCTTTAATGCAGTGTGTAATGTAATGTAGCTATTGGCAAATGTACAATGTCTGCAAAAGTTTAAAGATCAAAGTGCACAACAAAAAGTTATTGTCTCCTAAAAGAAAGAACTATTCTGACCTGCTGAAACGAGTAGTCAGCAATTCCAATCTTGCTTCCTGTCACATACTGTTTTGGATATATTTACCTGTTTCCAAGAAATGTTATTTTGCTTGCTTTTAAGGTAATGCCATATATGCTTAAATATATAAAAATGCTTGTATGCTATTTGAGTACCTAAAATACTTAGTGATATGTAGGGTGTAAACAAATACATTTGGCTTGCTTTGTTTGTTATGTAGAGCAAAAGATGTGAAAATTAAGTTCCTTGAACTTAATGTTTGTTGTCAACCACAAAGGTTAACAAGAGGGCACACGGGGATGAAGTGAAGGTGTTAAAACCACAAGCGGAGGTGAAACCAATGAAGGCTAATGTGAAGACGGGGAGAAGAGCTACAAGAAGACAACAACGTAGGCGACAGCAGAAGGACATCCGGATGATTAAACAGGATTTACAGAGGTAAAGCTGACGCCTTTGTTACTGTTTGTATTACTGTGTATCAAGTGCTAAGGAAGCCTCCGGAGCTGAAATTCCCATTATGGTAATAGCCATTTTGTTTCCAACAAAAGACGGAAGAATCTTCGAACAAACCGTTTTCAAACTCTTTGAGAAATGAGGTGATGTACATTATGAGAAAATTAAAGTTTTTTTTTTTTTCAGTGCTCATGTTAACAGGTTAGAGCAGGGGTGGGCAAACTTTTTGACTCGCGGGCCACAATGGGTTTTAAAATTTGACAGAGGGGCCGGGCCAGGTGCATTTGGAGGGAGTGTTTGGGCCGGATATACTAAAGCATTAAATGTAGTGTGTGCAAACCTCATAGCACAGTAAGAACACTACAACCCAATTTATTAACTGTCTTTCAAATGTGAAAAATAGCCCTTATCAGTTAATAAATTTGTCTCAAGGAATATGCAAGATATGGCATTTACATACTATTTCGCAGATACTGTGAGGAGGAAATGTAAATAGATTAAAATAACATACGCACTGTGATTTATCAAGATTGCGTCTGTTTTTAATAAGTTTCAATCGAAGGTGCAAAGTTAAAGTAATCAACATTTATTGAAAAATGGAATCACTTTCAACATTCAAAACATATTATTACACAATGAAATACTCAAGCTCAATAATATCTACTTGTGTTAAACTCCGCAAAATCATGGATGGATTGTCCTGACCGCGCGCTCTACAAACTCTCCACGGACGCCCTCGCCTTCACGCGCAAACAGTACACGTGTATCGTTGCCAAGCACACAGACATAGGCTGTATTAAATATCCTACCTGCAGCTGAAAATTTACATTTAAATTAAGAGCGATGTGCGGCGTGTTAATTAAGCTACTGTACCGCTGCTGTGCGTAAATGCGCATTGCTCTTAATTAAAAGACGCACTTCCAAACTTTCCATATGCATTTTTTCATAACACAGCAGAAAAAATCACCATTTCAGTGGGAACAGTGTTGTTGGTCTCCCTTTTTTGCCAGTGCATCAAAGTCTGGAGTTAGTTTTGTTGTGGCAATTCTCAGGACAGATCTGAGGTGTTGGTCAGTTAACTTGGATCTGTGATGGGCTTTGTTGATTTTCATGACGCTAAACGTCTGCTCACACACGTAGGTCGAGCCAAACAACACCAGCATCTTCTGCGCCGTCCTCCGGAGGTTTGGAAACGCGGTCTCGTTAAGTGAAGCGTAAAAGTCATTCAGTTTAAGAGACTTGAACTTCTCCTTTGAGACGGAGTCAGACTGAAGATCGATCAGTTCCAATTGCAGCTCCTGCGGTGCTGATTCGGGGTCTTGTGACAGGGGACAGGACACCAGTTGAAGTGACTTGTCAATTTTTTCAAAATCACAGAACCGACGGCAAAATTCTCTGTGCAGATCGTCCAGTGATTTGCAGTATTTCTTCGCATTTCGGGCGGCCTCTTTCTGCACGGCTAGTGTGGGGAAATGTGCGAAAGATTTGTTTGACATTTGCCTGGAGAATAAAACCAGCTTGGATTTGAAGGCTTTCACATTTGTGTACATGTCGTGCGCAAACTGATCTTTCCCCTGTAGCTTCACGTTCAGCTCATTCATGTGTGAAAATATGTCCACAGCAAACGCAAAGTCACAAAGCCAGTTTGTGTCGCTCAGCTCGGGGAATTCTTCGGATTTCCCCATTAAATTAAAAAATGAGCGAATCTCGTCTTTGAGCTCCCAGACTCGTTGAAACACTTTCCCCAAACTTAACCAGCGGACGCGAGAGTGGTAAAGTAGGTCCTGGTGATCCGCATTAGTTTCTTCCAGGAACGTAATGAACTGACGATGATTAAGTCCCCTTGCTCGTATGAAGTTAACAAGTTTTACAACTGGATCCACGACGTGATTAAGCTGCAATACAGACTTACACAGAGACTCCTGATGAATGATGCAGTGAAGTAAAATAACATCCTGGTCAGGGTTTTCTTCTTTCACTTTATCCTGGATTCTTTTCAGCAGCCCGATGTTTTTTCCAGTTAAATTTGGCGATCCATCCGTGGTGACATTGGCAAGTTTATTCCAAGGTAGCTTCATTCTCTCGATGACAGCAGACACCTGTTCATATAAGTCCTCTCCTCGCGTTTTCCCTTTCAGTGATTCCATGCTCAAAAGCTCCTCCGTTATCTCAAAACTGTCGTTAATCCCTCGGATAAAAATTAGGAGCTGAGCAGTGTCTTTTATGTCGTTACTTTCATCCAGTGCTAGTGAATATAACTTAAAGGACTCCGCCTTTTTGTTTAACTCGCTGACTATATCTTCGTCAATCAGTTCCACGCGGCGAGTCACTGTCCTGCGTGCTAAACTGATTTTTTCAAACTTGGCTTTGCTCTCCGGACACAAGAGACCTGCTGTCTCTACCATGCACTCTTTCAAAAACTCGCCTTCGGAGAAAGGCTTGCTAGCCTTTGCTAATTTGAATGCCAGCAAATAACTTGCCTTGGTACTTGACTCTTGAATTGCAGTTTGTCGGTGAAAAAAGTTCTGTTGACTCTGTAAATTAGCTGCCAACCTCTGAGCAGTAGCCGCCCGTTCTTGTGTTGACTGCTTGCTAGCATAGTTTGCATGCTTCGTGGCAAAGTGACGGCTGATATTGTACTCTTTGAAAACCGCTACAGCTTCTTGGCATATCAGACATACAGCCGTTGATCGGACTTCAGTGAAGAAGTATTTTGTTGTCCACTCTTTATTAAACACTCGGCATTCGCTGTCCACTTTCCTTCTCTTTGGTCCGCTCATTTTTACAGAAGGGCTTAATGGTGACGTGAAACGAAGTGAAAATTAAATTGAAATAAAGAGAAATACGCGCCACTCCAACAACGGTCAATGTGTTTTGAGTGCGCCATCTATTGGGGAAACGTGGGCATTGCAGGGAAAGGGGAAAAAAGGAGGTTTTTACTATAATTTGGACAAGTTCGGCGGGCCGGATTAAAAAGCCTAACGGGCCGTATGTGGCCCGCGGGCCGTAGTTTGCCCATGTCTGGGTTAGAGCATTCACACTGCACATGAATGCAGTCCAGCAATGCTTTAATGCACATGCAGAATTAAAGTGATAGCGCATTGTTAGTGGTGAACTAAATGAACAGTGATTTCACCAGAAATCCATATAATTAAAGTCTACTGTCAACATATGACTTTCTGCCCTGGGTAAAGCAAAGAAAACATGATTGTTTTTCCAGAACTCACTGTAGCAAATTAGCAGCCATGTTTACATATTATTAACACATGATTTATTAACTTATCATTCTGAGCAATGTTGCGGTTGTCAACTAAAAAACTATTAAAATTGTTTTTGTTAACTTAAATAAAAAAATAAATTATAGACTAAAAACTTTAAAATTAGAAATGTTGCCTTGACAACAGAAATAAAATATTTTGAAGTACTAAAATGACTAAAATCGACATGAACTAAAACTAATGAAAACATAACAAAATTAATAAAAAAACTGAAAAATAAAATACTATAATAGTACATGCAGTAAATACAAATAAAATAACACTGTTTCAGAATAGGAATCAGCAGGTAACTGCTATATTATATTTACTGTATAATATTTTTGAAACTGTGATCTGTCATATATTTTTTGTGATATTTACTTGTTTCTCTGGCACTTTGCTTCTTTCTTTGTGTAAATATATTGTTAGCTTATTCCAAGTCTCTTTTTCCTCCAAATAATATTTATGTGAAAAATAAACAAACATTTTGTGAAAATATTGATACAGTATTGAGAGGTAAAATAACTCTTATAATTCTCAAATATTGTTGTTGTTTTTTGTACCCACCCCAGAATATCATATGCAAAGAGGTTAGCTAATCATAACAGGTCATTTACATATAGAAGTCTTAATTTGTTATGGCATGTCAGCACAAAAGGCGATATGTAGACGTATATTAAATAGATACGTAAATATATATATATACACTCACCGGCCACTTTATTAGGTACCCCATGCTAGTAACGGGTTGGACCCCCTTTTGCCTTCAGAACTGCCTCAATTCTTCGTGGCATAGATTCAACAAGGTGCTGGAAGCATTCCTCAGGGAGTTTGGTCCATATTGACATGATGGCATCACACAGTTGCCGCAGATTTGTCGGCTGCACATCCATGATGCGAATCTCCCGTTCCACCACATCCCAAAGATGCTCTATTGGGTTGAGATCTGGTGACTGTGGAGGCCATTTTAGTACAGTGAACTCATTGTCATGTTCAAGAAACCAATTTGAAATGATTAGAGCTTTGTGACATGGTGGAAGTAGCCATCAGAGGATGGGTACATGGTGGCCATAAAGGGATGGACATGGTCAGAAACAATGCTCAGGTAGGCCGTGGCATTTAAACGATGCCCAATTGGCACTAAGGGGCCTAAAGTGTGCCAGGAAAACATCCCCCACACCATTACACCACCACCACCAGCCTGCACAGTGGTAACAAGGCATGTTGGTTCCATGTTCTCATTCTGTTTACGCCAAATTCTGACTCTAACATCTGAATGTCTCAACAGAAATCGAGACTCATCAGACCAGGCAACATTTTTCCAGTCTTCAACTGTTAAATTTTGGTGAGCTCTTGCAAATTGTAGCCTCTTTTTCCTATTTGTAGTGGAGATGAGTGGTACCCGGTGGAGTCTTCTGCTGTTGTAGCCCATCCGCCTCAAGGTTGTGCGTGTTGTGGCTTCACAAATGCTTTGCTGCATACCTCGGTTGTAACGAGTGGTTATTTCAGTCACTGTTGCCCTTCTATCAGCTCGAACCAGTCTGGCCATTCTCCTCTGACCTCTGGGATCAACAAGGCATTTCCGCCCACAGAACTGCCGCTCACTGGATGTTTTTTCTTTTTCGGACCATTCTCTGTAAACCCTAGAGATGGTTGTGCGTGAAAATCCCAGTAGATTAGCAGTTTCTGAAATACTCAGACCAGCCCTTCTGGCACCAACAATCATGCCACGTTCAAAGTAACTCAAATCACCTTTCTTCCCCATACTGATGCTCGGTTTGAACTGCAGGAGATTGTCTTGACCATGTCTACATGCACTGAGTTGCCGCCATGTGATTGGCTGCTTAGAAATTAAGTGTTAACGAGCAGTTGGACAGGTGTACCTAATAAAGTGGCCGGTGAGTGTATATATTTATTTATTTTATTTATTGCAAGAACAAAACATTTTCAAGCAATAAACTAATAAATGTAGAGCACTTAAGGGTAAAGTATCAAAAGTGAAAGATCAGAATGAGGGAATAGAATTGTAACTAATTTATGACAGTTTTGGTGCAACAAACCTTTACTAACCTCTTTATGTTATTAGTAGATGACCGCTTTAAGACAGCAAAAGCTAGTCTCGTGATGGCTGAACTAATGCACTATCATCTCATGTGACACTTTTTCATGCGCATGTGACAGTGAAAACAGGAAATAGCTGAGTGAAAAGCAAGTCGTTTCTGCAGCTCATAGCAGGCAGTGTGAAAACGTCTTCATGACGACTGAGATCACTGTGTAGTTGTGATCTAATGTTACTTACCGCTAACTTTTACAGGAGGGCTCCGCACCAGAGGACTAGTGGACAGGCTGGTCAACACCATGGCAGCCGTCACTTTGTCCATGTCCACCTCCTCCTCGGATTTCCTGTAAGAGCAAGAAACATTACTTAAACTCACCATGAAATCAAAAACATTAACTTCCCCTCCATCTCGCATCAACATCTCTTGAGTAGGGGTGGGAATATTACTAGACAATAGATATATTGCTAGACAATCCTATAATAATACATCACGAAATCTGTCGAAAACAAACTATGAAAACAAAATGCCCGTGAAAAGGTTAAGTGCAGGTTTTCTCTCTTTATTCAAGTCCGAACTGTTTAGAAAACAGCACAAAAAGTTTTTCAGTCTGTAAATTAAATGGAACATTTTAAGTAAATTAAACATTTCATGCTGCTTATACTTTTTAAAAGCTTTAACTTTTCTTTGTGTGTAAACTGACACATTTAACTGCTTATCGACTAGTTTTAGTTTTATATAAACCTGGATACATTTCAAAATTTACCAACCTCTTTTATTTAAACCTGGTAGCATCTCAGTGTTTACCAGCTTCCTTAAAATAAACCTGGGAATAGTGGTGTCCAAGGTACCGACTTGGGTATTTAAAACATTTCTCTGATTGGCTACAATCAACGCTTTCAAAACATGTTGTAAATAGACAACATGTTGTCTATTTACATGTTGTCTAGGAGTAATACTTTTTAGGAGTAATAAAAAACACTTACACAGGTACACACGGGAGCGTTTGAAAGCAGGTGTCCATCAGCGGATCCCTAATATATCCACTGATAGACGCCTGCTTTCAAACACTCCCGTGTGTATCTGTGTAAGTGCTTAGTGAAGAGCGTCAAAGATGTCTATTCACAACATGTTTGTCCCATCAATGGTATAAAAGCCAAAGTGCGTCCAGACTTCGGCTGGGGCATCTTATTATTTTACTCACACTGCTGTCCGCCATCCCATTAAAAAAATTGTTTTAGGCTAGTTAACTTATGTTCACGTTTCCCTCATTCATCTGTTGACTGCTACCTCGAAGGAACCATGAAGTAGCGATGCTTGGAGCAGGGAAATCTATTTAGAGCGCCTTTTTTATTAATTAAAAAATATTTGGCGACAGCGTATTGATTCTCGTATTGCACGGAGAAGGACAACGATATATATCGCCCTATCGATATTTTGTCCCACCCCTACTCTTGAGGGTGGGACAATAAAAGCGGGACAATATTCCAAGAGAAATTGAAGAACAAACTTATGTCACATCATTTCGAAACAAAATCAGCAAAAAAAAAAAAAGTTTGAAACCGCTTCCTAAAGCAAACCTTCCGGAAAAGTTCGCTCCAGCTAGTAAAAGCCTTCAAACTACCATTGGTTTGTGGCGATTACGAAATAGGTAGGTGTGCCGTCACCTTTGACATGGAAATCTTCTCCAGTTAATTTCTTCAGTTGACCGTCGAGGTCAGACACGAGTAAAAACATGAGCACACAGGAGAGCCGCTTCATAGTGGAAATTGAAGTTGTAATTCTAATTGAAAGTGACAGTGAATGCTTGCTTTAAAGGGGTCATATAATGCCATTTTTGTACAAGCTAGTATGATTCTTTAGGGTCTAAATTAAAAGTTTGTAATATACTTTAATTAAAAATTCTCATTAGTATTGTAAGAAAACACTTATTTTACTTGGTCAAAAACAGCTCTGTTTTCAGCACGCCGTTTCAGTGCATATGACTTTAAATGATAATGAGCTTTGCTCACTCTGCCTCTCTGTTCTGTGCGTACACCGTTTGTAACACAATAACACAATAACCATAACGCGTTGTTCAGTTTAAACGTGGGATTATGAATTATATTGAGAACATCATACATAGTAAACATGCCGTAATGTACACTAAGTGTAAACCTTATATGTAAACAATAAGACGCATTCATTGTGAAGCGTGCAGCTAGCGATTTGCAAAGATTAATATAAATATTAATATAAAGTTTAATAAAACGTTACACTCACTTCAGTTGTTCTAGAGGTTCAGCAGGAACACGAATAGCTGGTACCGATCCTTTTTTCATGAGCAGCTTCTTAGCAAAACCAGCTTTATACTGACCCTCGTTTATAAAGCAGTCTGGTGAGAAATGATTCGCGCAAACATGAACGCATTGACGTTGCTCGTGGGGAATATTCCCTTCGAAAACAAACTCAGCCACTGCGTCTTCAGCGGTTCGGATTTAGGAACATTAAAATGACTGTGTTCGTTATTGCACCCAAGAACAGAACACCACAATCGCTTAGACGCCATTCTGCTCATAGACAGTGCTCCAGCATATCAACAATGACCGCGCCGGTCCGCGCAGACTATGATTGACAGCTCGCTCACGAGCGAGGGCGGGTCTGTGTTGAAACGCTCCTGTCAATCAACAATCGTGGGAGGGGCTTCCGACCTTGTGACGTCACACGGTCGAACGGCTCGATTTGAGGCAGGGGAAAACATATAAGGATATTAAAACAAAAACACTGGATGGATTTTTATCATTTTATGATGGTTGTGTACAGGCACTGCCAACACACATTTCAGTACAATCAACTTGTAAAAGTGCATGTACCATTATATGACCCCTTTAAAGCAATCTATTGTCCAAGTGCTATAAATAAATGTGACGTGACGTGACTGGAGTCCGAATTGCAGAGCTAGTGCAAACATATCCACATCGCTTTGATCAGATGCTTTCACAACTGCCGTTTTCTCACTGCTGTCCTTTTTGTTGAGTGTTCATTTTGTTATTGAGAGGAATATGTGCAGCATATATTATATACATATTCTTCTAAACATCGGGATGTTCATTAACAGTATACAGCTGCTCAGGTATTTCAAACTTGTTTTTACCTCTTAAGTGAAGAAACAGGACTTTGCCTTGAGTATATTGGGGCCTTAATGGTTAGGTATTACAGACCTCCCTAAAATGCTATTACATACATGTTGCTCCAAACTTCCACGCCAGCTGCTGCGTTCATTGTTCTGGGATCTCCAAAGCCGCACTGCACAGCGTTCCTATGATGGACAGAACAGGAACATCTGTCCTGACAGATGACTCTCATCACTCACAGATGCAGTGTAACATGTCTCTTTACGATAGCATGATGGAGAATGATGATATCTCAACACAACCTGCTTCTGCTTTGGGAACGGACCAGCTGATCTTGCGCCGTTTGCAGGTCTTTAAACAACAAAAAAGGGCTGCGTGAAAGATGTCACTTGTTTTTATATCTCAGATGAGTATTTCATGCCTGTGATTGAAGGACGGACAATGAATGCGTTGACGTGTGGAAGGAGTAATAAATCTTCTCACCTGTCAGCTCACAGGAGCACATTCTCTCTTGGGAAAACCTGAGCTGCCCTGCCAAAGGCATAGCATGAAATCTCATATGAGAGAGAGAGGGAGAGAGAGAGAGACCTCTGGCTGACAGTGAAGCCCGGCACCTCCATTAGAGATAGGCCTAATTTATGTTTCTCGTGCGGCGAGAATGATGTCATTACGGCTTTCGGATAAATCACGGTAGGCTGCCATCGATGCCGCTTTTCCCAGGACCACACCATTACGGCTTCTTCCTGGTCACCTTGGGAGAGCACACTGGGAGTGATGGAGCTTTCCAGATAATGCCACGCTGGTGGTCCTGGATGACTGCTAATTAAGAGCTTTAACATCTCTCATCCAATGGAATATTGTAAATTTCAAGAAATGCATTAGATCCTGTGTAATTAGCATGTGATATATTGCCACACTTGAACAAAAAATGATCTCTGAGGTCCCAAATCACATGAGTCATTAGTGTCCTTATCAAGCCATGGGAGTGAAGCCGGCCGCACATTTATGAATAGTAATTAAAAGAGAAGGTGAGCAATACATTCAGCTGCAAATCACGCATATGATGGGAGACTAAGGGAGCTTTCACATTGCTGCGGTCCAAATCCGGGCGCGATCGTTCCCGGCTCCCTCTGCAGCGGTGGTCTGCTTTCACACTTAACTTGATTCTATCGAACCCTGGTGTTCATCTTACGTCATCACAAACGTACACGGTGCATGGTAGAAAACAGGGCTCGGGTCAATATATTGTGCTTTCTACTAATTTGGTGCTATTATGCACAGCAGAGTGAACGACACAGTTATTTACACCGGACTTCCAACTAGTAGATAATGAAAAGATGTAATTTTGCACATCCCTAATCATGGTCTATACCATCATCACTAGAATATCTTCAACCATGAAGCTGGAAAAACACATTATGGGAGTTACTGTTCTCAAATACAGAAAAAGAACAGACAAACAGACACTCTGCTGTGAACTGAGCCTGTGCTGTATCTGATGTTGCCTTACTCTCACTGGCTTACTTTGACGTCTTTGGTTTTCTCAATGGGACTGGGACAATATGATCATGCTCTTTCTGCTCATTTCCAATCAGGCAGATATAAATTAATGACCATTGTTGTAAAAATGAGCTTGTCTATGAATTACCCAGATTTAAGAGTCATTAATACGCTTCCAGTGGTATCCCTCATTTGCAGGAAGACAAACGTCAATGGGTTTTTTTTGGTCATGGGGGTAAATGCGTGAGATGGCCGCCAGCCAAGAGGGGGAGGCAGTCCGCAGACATCTGTTGCGATTCAATGGACAGATGTGCCAACTTTTGTTGCCGTCCAAACTTGTAAGACAAATGATAGAGCGGGTGGCCAGAGAAAGGCTATCCTACATACCTTCAGACATCTGGACCTTTGTGTTTAATTAGTCCATTGAGGAGGCCTGTGCCCACAGTGGCGGAAAACTGGAAAGATGTTTCCAGTTTCAAAAATAACGGTGGTTTAGGAGGATATAATAACAACTGATTGGATTACAGTCATTGTCCTAAGCCAATATCAGTCTTCCTGCATTTAATCACTGTGGACTCATTCAAGCCATTGTTCCTCGCAACAGTGGGACAAAAAATCTTTGACAAAATAACAGTGCTACTTCAACATACCAAAACGATCGAAAACAAATTGCAGTCCATTCAAAATTCAGAGAGCATTTCAGTATCAGTAGACACCGATAACTCTGAAATAG